GGGGGGGGCAAAATGGTTACTATCAGCATATTCCGTACCATACATACGTGTTGGTAAGGTAATGCTGTTGTTTGTCAAAACGCTACCCATAGTGCCCCGCGCCTCCCAGCATGCAATGTGATCCGAGAAAAGGTCTACATAGGATCCATCCGGGTCCTACACTGTACAAGCGTCCAAATGCAATTTTTTTTTTCATCCAGTCAGCCAAAGCGCTCACACAAGTCACTTTTTTGGGTCATTTGCAAATTTGACCGCTTTTTTTTCATTGCAGGAAATGCACAGGCCATGCACCATTTGGTACAAAGCGTTCAACATAGACTCTTATTGATTATCTTTCCGAGGTGCTTTGATACAAGAGGAATTAAGGCTTATCATGCATAAGTAAAGGTACCCATAAACTGGGAATGCGCCCACCTAGACGCCACCTAGCGACCGGACAGGACACTGTACGGACTCAAAAGCTGTTAGTGTGTACAAGAAGACCAGACCAGACAAGGCTCGGCTGACATGGAAATAGCGATAAGACTGCATCAATACTTCATTTGGGAAAAGAACGAATATTTCTTTACTTACTAGTATTACCGCAAGTTTAGAATGATTGACATAACAGGTGACTATCACCTCTTCAAGATGTGAAACCTGAGACCAGACTGTAAGGTTTGAACCACTCACACCAGGAATGATGCCTGCTCTTTTGAACAAGTGTGGTGGGATCTTTAAACAGTAAGAGTACTGTGTAGACAGCTTTTCAAGCTCAAAAATTTATATACTTATAATCTGAATAATGAATATTATAAACTATATCGCTTTCTTATCCCCATTCCACGTCAGCCAAGCCATGTGTATATTTCAAATACTTATACTAATGCGAAGGAACAGTTTCTATAAATTTGGTATGAAAACAAAACTACATTTTAATAACGTCTAAGAATGGACAAGATATCAAACAAAAAGAAGCTACAAGAATAAGAAATCATATTTATATTTCTTGTCAACTTTGACAGACAACATGAGTAAAAATTTCTTATTTAGCATTCAAAAGTATGCTGTTCCTTCTCAAATAAAAATATACTTATGAAGATGAGAAAGAACGTATAGGAACCGACCTAGGTGGTTATTTTTGCATATTTCTTAGACTATTTGAAATGCTATTTCTTTGCTTTCAATTTTATACAAGCTTGAGTACATTGTTGGTAAGTTCGGAATTGTCTTGTAGAATGTAGCACCAAAGTTTTGCCATATAAATGTTCTTTTAACTTTAAATTTGTATTGTTTGGTTCCCTAAACGTTCTTTCTTCCTGAAGTCATTGTCTTTGCCATTTTCGCGCTGTCTTTCCCATGGTTTTAACTGTGTTTTTTTTCTTCATAAAATCAATTTTGTACAATGAAGTTATCATTGAAATGTTTCATGGATGCATTCGTTTGGTGGTCCGCAGTAAAATACAATATATCCAACTCGAAGAAGAAAATATCTTATTCAATGCAAATTGAATGTAGCATTTTATGAAGCTATTATCAAAAATACTAGCCTAGCCCTAGTTGTCTCAACCGAACCAAAAATTAAAATAATTCAGTTCAATCATCACATTTTTGATTACATAGAGGGACGTATTTTCCATGTGATCACAGCGACTTGACAAAGGCAATGACTCAACAGATATTATCCTATAATTCGAAGCACAGAAGCACAAGCTTACCTGCAGAGACGTATAAGCCATGATGGTGCCGCCCATTCCGCTAAAGATAACAGCCAAAAACAGCAGGTCGGATATATCTGCAGAGGGAGGGAAGACGGTAAAATAAACGGCACGTCCCAGAATGCAACGCTGCAGTCGGTGTATCCCGAAATGCAATGCGACAGTCCAGCCGAAGGAAACCTCTTGCCAGATGTATAAGTTGGTTCACGGGTAGAACTGCGCATGCGCAATGCGGTGCATTGTGGGTAATTCGGCAAAGTTGAAGGCCCCCTTCACCTTTGACCTCGCGCATGAGCAGTGTAAACCGTGAACTGACTTATAGTGAAATACTAGTGCCATGATTAAAAATGCTTCTGCAGAAATGTTTCTTTTTTTGTGAGAATGTAGAGCCCTACCACGGGATACATTCCACAGTTCATAGAAAGCTTTTGGAGGCTTCAGCTCAAAGCAGGCTTCAGTGAGGATATCCCAAAGAAGAAAGCTCCAGCCATGGAATGGACACCTGTAAAGTCTTACCTGTCTTATCCTCCTACATCTGGCTCACAATAACTAGTACTTAGAACTCTCTTGAAGATAACATGATAATCATAACCACACACTCTTCATAGACACAAGGCAGCAAGTCCGGGTGTTTTACGTCAGCTATACTCATTGTCTCATAAGACCTTGGACGGGTGACATTTTGTAATACCTTTGTGTATTTCTTTAACCTGGTATCCAGTCTATCGTGGTTGGGGAAGGCTGTCTTCGGGGCTCTAATAGTTTCCCCCATTCCAGCTCAACAGACCGCCCGGTAGGATAGAGTTTGGCACGCTGAGAGTTAGAGTTGATCAACCTCCAGTCGTGAAAAACCTACTGGGGAAGGCTGTCTTCGGGGCTCTAATAGTTTCCCCCATTCCAGCTCAACAGACCGCCCGGTAGGATAGAGTTTGGCACGCTGAGAGTTAGAGTTGATCAACCTCCAGTCGTGAAAAACCTACCGGGGAACCTAGCTGAGTCGGGCGGGGAAGAGCTCCTGCAGCCCCGAAGAAAACCCACCCCAACCACGATAGACTGGACACCAGGTTAGTGTTCCTTTTACCCTGGATGCCAAACTCGTTTCGGCCGCTAGCAATTTCCTTCGGCAGCCAAGAGCCCTTCGCCCGCGGGTCTAGCTAAATTACCGCTACGGAGAGACTGGCCCGAGGGGAGTTCAGCTGGCCCTTTAAGTTCTAGGGCCGGACAAACTCCCTCGGGCTCAACTCCCCCGTAGCGGTAATTTAGATAGGCGGGGGAAGGGCTCTTGGCTGCCGAAGGAAAACGACTAACGGCCCGATACTAGTTTGGCACCCAGGGTATGTTTCTTTGCACTACATGTGTCTCTACTGTAATTATGTAACCCCAAACAACACACAACAGGCCCCTCCCAACGTAACGTTCCGGGGACAAACCACGAGGAGCAAACCGCGTTTACCTCTGTCCGCCCAGGCGAAGAGGAGGCATGACACTGCGACAAGCAAGCTGGAGAAACAAACTTCGGGTTAGTCCATCCTACTACTACATACATCCTACTCTCTTCGCCCTCATATGATGCTCGTAGCTTATATTGTACCTCACTGCAGGGTCCTCAGATCCCTTTATTCTCCAAGCAGATCTTTTGGTTTTGAAAGCCTATCTGTGCTGCATGGTAGAATCCATAGTTGCTTAGTTCCAACACTAGAAGTGAGTTCCCTTCTTGTGTTGGAACTAAGATCTTTTGGTTGCTGCAGTATCAAATTGACAATTTAGTATTATTGGCAGGGCAGTGTCACGAATATGCCACTCGAGGTTTGGCTGGCGAAAAAAAATATACCGGTACAAAAAAGAAATCTTGACCAAAACACCTAAAAACACGTCAAAAATATGCTTGGAGAATAGGGTACCAGTATCTTTGAGAGTTGGCTACAAGTTTTCGCAGCTTTAATAATAATCATAACACATTAAAGGCAACTGGATAAAAGGCGAAGTTTTGCCCATCATATTTAAATCTTTTTCCTACAATGCAGTTTCTCTTTGTATTGTCTGGAAACTTGCCATTTGGCTATCAACATGGTTTTGACCCATGGCTATCTATTTTGATACAAGCCACGTAAAACTTTCCATTCGAATGCTGCCATTTGGCTCTCAACATGAAATTGACCCATGGCTATATACTAGTATCTATTTTGGTACAAGCTGCAAAACTTTCCATTCCCAAACGCTGCCTTGCCAAAGACCGTTATGTTTTGGCTATGTTTAGTAATAAGCAAACATCGATAATTCTACATAGAAAAAACGTAGTTTGAAAATCACCAATTTTAGTAAGCTCCACATTGCAGTGTGATCAACCACACATATGGTTTCGTCGTTTTGTAAGGGAACCTTTTTTCATATCCACACAGTTGAGCTTCACAATAGCTCACTTCACTCACTCTTCTTGTATCAGATACATGTACAGTCAAACCTGTTGAGTCATAAGACCCACCTGACCAATGTGACCACTTTTTGGTGGTCAGATCACTTCCCCATTGACACAAGCATTAAGTATCCTATCTATGGTGACAACCAAGGAGCCTGTAATATAACGTCCTTGTGACAACCTTTTCGTATAAACCAGATTTTCAGATCTTCAGTTTTGACTGTATAATAACTTAAAGGACGTTTATCACATCCTCATACGCTCCATTCAGACAAGGCGAAAACAATGAGCATTTGGTGAAGATAGAACATACAATGCTTTCTGCCGCTACGTAGGACTGTACACACAAACTGCCAAAACGTTTGGATATCTTTACTTTCATTTCTTCACCAATTACTCATAGTTTCCACCGATATCTATGAGTCTTTCACGCCTTGCATGAGAAGTATGTATTGTGTTTAACTCACCTGCCGATCATGCGCAGAGACCTGCAGCCGAACTTGTCCATGGCCATGCCGATGGGGAAGGTCATCCCGCTCAACAGGAAGGACCCCACGGTAAAGGCCAGGTTCAACCGTCTGTCCTGGGCCGCACACCCGGACAACTGGACAGATACAAGATTCTTTATTGACTCAACAAGAAGTAGAGGGACTTTTGTATGGTCTTCTACAACTTAAGATCTAACAAAGCTAAATACATGTATGGATATAGAACAACGTCATCCTACGTATAGAATATATGTCAGCGGCAACAATAAAGGTTTAACTATTCTCTAACATGTAGTCTCTAAGATCTAAAGATTCTTTAAATAATGTATTCTCGATTTGAACACTGTATGTAATTGAACTCATCTATAGGACCTAATGTATTAAAATCAGTTGAACAAGCGGAAAAAAAAGTAATTACAGCAAATAAACGACAAACGGCCATCGTTAGAATGCAACAACTACACTTTGATATATGTAGTTGTTGTATTAACAATTATCTAGTTCATGATATGCCATACTTCGAGACAATGCTAATACATTTGCATAATTTATGAGAATAATAAGAAACCAAGCAAACAAACGCAACTCATTGTCCAAACTCACCTCATCAATGAGGACCTGTTGCTTGTCCTCTTTCTGCTCGAACAGGGCAGGCGCAGCGGTAACCACGGTGGTGTTCCCATCTGTAACACAAGACAAACAACATGATGCAATCAACATCCCAACATGTCTACGTATGGCAGTTATTCAGGCAATGTTGACAAACAAGCAAACAGCCCTGTTAGTCTCCTCCTCGTGTTTTTTTCCATCCATGTATAGGATTTCAGTGGGGCGTCGGGTATGTGACCTGTCAACCCGTTTTAGCTCGTCTGAACAGTCATCGATCTATGTTCCGGGTTGGACCAACATGTTGTCATGTCATGTCCTAATAAATCCGTGTGGAAAGACTGATGTACAAGTGATGGACATGGACATCCCAATGAGAAATGCCCAAGTCCAAATCATGTACAGTTGCTTGTTTTATTTATTCGTTCGGCTGTTAAAAAGACAAATTGTACAGCCAGGGCAGCCCAACTAGCCAGGAGGCTATTATTAAGGGCTTGCCCTGCTGACAGGACAAACATTTACACGCACGATACAACAATACAATACATTAACGTGGAGAGGTCAGGGTCATACACCTAAGGCTTATAGGGGTCGCCTAGAGAGTCCCATAGCTTCCTTTTAAAGGAGGCAATAGGTTGCTTGTGTTTGTGTGTATCTTATTACTTAGATGCCCAACCTTCACCGACGTAGCTATATATCTGTCTGTCCTGATTGGGACGGACTGTCTTCGGGGCTCTGAAAGTTTCCCCCCGTCCAGCTCAACAGGCCGCCCGGTGGAAGTGTTACGCCCGTAGGAGTTCTGTACGCCAGGAGCCGTGCATGCAAAACCTACCGGGGAACCTAGCTGAGTCGGGCGACGAAGAGCTTCTGCAATAGAATAGAGCCCGCCCTAACCACGATGGACTGGGCACAAGGCTAGCTAAAAAATAGATACAAGGGAGTACTACAATTTCCTGGTTTAAGCAAGAACATAAAAATGTGTTTAGCAGCTGTTTTCTCCTTCACGATTCTTTATCTACATGTACAGTTGAATCATACTGATCTTCGCGTGATGCGCCAAAGCAACAGGAAGAACCAAAGATCTTGGATGGTTTCCAGATCAACATTGGTCATATCCTTCGTTTTCAATTAGCGCTAACCACCGTATGCCGTATGATATCAGTCCGTAAACGTAGGATCCTCCAACTACCACTGTCTATAGCTGTATGATGCCGGATTTGGTAAAAATGAAATATGGTCTCTCATGATTCGGATAATGATTCATTCCGATAACCTTAAACCTGAGGACACATCTTGACAACAGCTGAGGGGTTCACCATTTATTTCAAAACTTGGCGAGACTCCCATTTTGCATGCACGAAATGCCAGAATGGAGTTACTATTTCCGATCTGTACGCCGGCCAAACGACGCCATGATGCTGTTATTAATACACATTAAGCCTTAACCGAATGCACGAGAAACACGCAACGACCTTTTGATATAATCTAGGAAAATAATCCTTTAAATCCAGGGATAATCTCTATTTACTTATTGGTTTGGCTGTTTAGCACGCACAACAGGGGCTGTCCAGTCTACATTTGGCTATTGCAAAGGGCTAGCCCTGCTGACAAATACAAGACATTACAATGGGATTTGACATGGGCAGCACAACAGTCTACAACATTATTCTGGGCATATAAAGCATTGTATAAAAGAACTAAGTAGCATCTTTGATGGATAGGCCAGGGTCAGTGCGTGTACACACGTGTAAGGGATAATCGTGTCAGGACTTTGTGATCTCTAGCCTACGACTAAAAGCGATGTGTCGGTAAGTGAAAAATGGGGAAACATTGCACAAAGAAGGACGCATCGACGCACAGCGATTGAGTTGCCCGACCCTACCATAAATATTCCATGACCTGATTCTGCGGTCCGTTACCAATCCATCAAAATGACTGCAGGATCGTAGCCTCCATAGCATGTCAAAAACTGGGGTTTTGGGAGGTCTTCAGGGTCTTTGGGAGCTTTAATGTGCTATTTTCTGATTGCATATAGACAAGATAGCCGGCCCGGTTGAATTACCCCCGTTTTTAAGAAATGGGCTAATCAGAAAACAGCCGAAGACCACCAAACCCCCAGTTCTATAAGCCTGCTACGGAGGCTAGCAGGATCGGCTGATTTACAATGTAGGTCAACAAGGCGGTTATACAATAATTACAACACGTGTAGGGCAACGAGACCGCATGTAATTATAAGGTGGGCACTTGGAGGGCGGCGCATACCCTTATCCGCAGAACGTAATCGGCCGTTTTAATTCTACGTAGAGCGTAATTGGAGCATTTTGCGTAGAGCGTAATTCGTATTCTAATATCGTATTCTCAATTGCATTGTAAAGCATCCAATCTGGAGTATTCCCACTCAATATTGTGTTTTGTATGCATCTGTAGCTTTTGGGCTGCGTGTAGAACAGACAAATAAACAAACAAACAAACAAGCGGTGCTGACCTGGCCCCGTGCAGAGCTTGCTGTACAGCCCCTGTGCCTTCAGCATCAGCACCAGGGAGCCCCACAACAAACAAACAAACAAACAGACAGACAGACAGACAGACAGACAGACAGACAGACAGACAGACAAACAAACTTGGCTGACCTGGCCCCGTGCAGAGCTTGCTGTACAGCCCCTGTGCCTTCAGCATCAACACCAGGGAGCCCCAGCCGAACAGGATGAAGGAGAAGAGCAGATTCTCGGCGATGGCGGTCCCCAGGAGGAACTTCCGCCGGCGGCTGGCTTCGAACAGGCTGGGCGCCATCTTGACGCAGTCTGATGCCCTCTGCCAAGGTCAATAACTCCTGTGGTAAATAAAGACAGAAATATTGGTTAATTATCAAGCAAACAAGTCATTGTAGGTACATAGCCTCCTGTGCAGGCCTCCGGGCGGGCGGGAGTTTTGATACTGCGCTTTGTAGAATTTTTAACACGTTCTTTTGTCGGCCATCCTACAACCAGCCGACCAAGCAAGGTTTGTACGTTAAAAATTCTACAAAAATCAGTATCAAAACTGTTAGGTAGCTAGTAGGTACATACGAAGCAGCTTATAGTAAGATCATCACATGCATCAGAGAATCATTAAAGTTTATGCTCTCCAAGCCTGCATTTTACCTTGCATTTTGGCTGGCCTTTGGACAAGGCTGATGAAGTATACGCACGTTAAAACTTGCAGTTACGCGGCAATGACGTTGTTAGAATGGTGCGACCTACCAAAAACGCACAGAATTCAAGAGAGGACCGCAGAAGGTTTGGCCTTTTAAGTGGATGACGAGATATGTCCCCTACGGTTGTGTGTCTTCCTCGGGTATAGTACGGCCCCACCGTCTAAAGATATATACCAGATCAATCAGCACAATCGTATAACACCACGAGCCTTCCAGGAACCCACTGTATATACGATGCAGAAATAGAAACGATTTGGCACCAGACACAGTTTTACAGATCTAGATTTACGATATACTAGTAGCATATCGTGCCGGGACATGACCGCGGTTGACATAGTTCTATATAAATCTGAAAACACCCAGTGACCGATGATAAACCCAGTAAAGTTTATTTCCGACCGTTTATAATTATAGCCTTGCGCACGCGAAGTGTTAGTTGTACAGTATCCATTTACAGAATCTAGGCTGATCTTAAAGCAGATCCTTCGATGACTGCAAGACAGACCCGAAGATGGCTCGCCCAAACTAATCTCCAAGCAGATCATACGATGGCAAGGCAGTATCCATTGACCAGAGGAGTGTCCATTAGCCACCTGGCTAATGGGCATGCGGCACTCCTCTGGCCAATGGACACTTTCTTGCCATCGTATGACACTCCTCTGGCCAATGGATACTGCATGCCTTGCCACCGCATGATCTGCTTGGAGATCACGCCCAAACCACGATAGGACTGGACACGGACAACATGGTACGCATTCAGTGGCGTGACTGCTATAATTTTAAAAGCGCGCCTTGCCAAATATATAGGGTGTTCCGGCCTATCACAGATGAGCATGCCTTCAACCCAACCATGGAGATCCAACGTGCTACATTCGGACTGCGATATGTGCAGTCGAAGATAATTCTAATCTGTATCTGTATAGCCGGTATAACCGCCTCTCGGCGTAATACACCAGTTTC